TCTATTTAAATTTTTTTTTCTCCAAAAATCGATTATCCCAGTTACAAGGTGTTTATTTGGAAATAAATCCATTTGTGATTGCTATAAAACACCCTGTAGATTGAATTCAAGATTTTTTCTGAGAAATTCCAAAAAGGGGCTTTAAAAGGCAATGATTGCTCTATAGATTTTCGAAATTTTGTCTGTATATAACGTGTCCTCAAAATACTAAGAGCTTGTGAACTTTAATGCATCAAAATTCAATAATTTTTTAAAGTTTCCAACTTTTTTTATACATCCTGTATGAATTTGAAATTGGGAAGATTTTTTAAAGGATTTAATAAGCTTGTAGAGGCTCTATTTGATTTTTTTTTAAAAATTGAATACCCTATACCCCAGTTACAGGGTGTTCATTTGGAAATATAGTCATTTGTGTATTTCTCTATAAAACACCCTGTAGATGAGTTCAAGTTTTTTTTTGAGAAATTCCAAAAAGGGGCTCTAAAGGGCAATGAATTGCTCTATAGATTTTCGAAATTTTGTCTGTATATAACGTATCCTCAAAATCCTAGAAGCTCCTGAATTTTAATGAATCAAAATTCAATGGTTTTTCAAAGTTTCCAACTTTTTTCATACATCCTGTATAAATTTAAAATTGGGATTTTTTTTTAGATTTAATGGGCTTGTAGAGATTCTATTTGATTTTTTTTTTTTTCAAAAATCGAATATTCCAGTTACAGGACAGGGTGTTCATTAGGAAATAGAGTCATTTGTGTATTACTCTATAAAACACCCTGTAGATTGAGTTCAAGATTTTTTTTGAGAAATTCCAAAAAGGGGCTCTCAAGGACAATGAATTGCTCTATAGATTTTCGAAATTTTGTCTGTATATAACGTATCCTCAAAATCCTAGAAGCTTCTGAATTTCAATTCGTCAAAATTCAATAGTATTTTAAAGTTTCCAACTTTTTTCATACATCCTGTATAAATTTAAAATTGGGGAAATTTTTTAGATTTAATAAGAATGTAGAGGTTCTGTTGGATTTTCATTTTTTTCAAAAATCGAATATCCCAGTTACAGGACAGGGTGTTCATTTGGAAATAGAGTCATTTGTGTATTACTCTATAAAACAATGATTTGCTGTATAGATTTTCAAAATTTTGTCTGTATATATCCTATTCACAATCCGATGTCCACAGGTGCAGGTAAATTTATCACCCTTCCCTATCAAATAGCATTGAAAGGTGATTTTACCTGTACCTACCTGTGGACATTGTATTGTGAACGGATAATATAACATATCCTCAAAATCTTAGAAGCTTCTGAATTTTAGTGCATCAAAATTCAATAGTTGTTTAAAGTTTCCAACTTTTTCCATACATCCTTTATATCTTTAAAATTGGGAATTTTTTTTAGATTTAATAAGCTTGTAGAGGCACTTTTTGATTTTTTTTTTTAATCGAATATCCCAGTTACAGGACAGGGTGTTCATTTGGAAATAGAGTCATTTGTGTATTACTCTATAAAACACCCTGTAGAATGAGTTCAAGGATTTTTTTGAGAAATTCCAAAAAGGGGCTCTAAAGGGCAATGAATTGATCTATAGATTTTGAACATTTTGTCTGTGTATAACGTGTCCTCAAAATGTTAGAAGCTTCTGAACTTCACTGCATCAAAATTCAATAATTTTTTTTATACATCCTGTATAAATTCAAAATTGGGAAGATTTTATAGATTTCATAAGCTTGTAGAGGCTTTATTTGATTTTTTTTCCAAAAATCGAATATCGCAGTGTCAGGGTGTTCATTTGGCAATAGATTCATTTGTGTATTACTCTATAAAACACTCTGTGAAGTTCACGATTTTCTTTTGAGAAATACCAAAAACGGCCTCTAAAATGGAATTAATTGCTCTATAGATTCTCAAAATTGTGTCTGTATACTAGAATATGCTTGTAGAGGCTCTGAACTTTAATGCATTAAGATTTAACAATTTTTTAGAGTTTTCAACATTTTTTATACACCCTGTATAAAGTTGAAATTGAGAACATTTCATAGAGGTTTTAATAGGCTTGTAGAGGCTCTATTTACATTTTTTTCCAAAAAACGAATACTCCAGTTACATGGCGTTTATTTGGAAATAGAGCCACTTGTGTATTACTCTATAAAACATCCTGCAGATTGAATTCAGGATTTTTTTTTTGATAAATTCCAAAAAGAGCCTCTAAAAGGCAATACATTGCTCTATAGATTTTCAAATTTTGTCTATATACAACGTGTCCTCAATATGCTAGAAGCCTCTGAACTTTAATGCATCAAGATTTAACAATTTTTAAAAGTTTTCAACATTTTTTATACACCCTGTATAAAGTTGAAATTGAGAACATTTTATAGAGGTTTTAATAGGCTTTTAGAGGCTCTATTAAAAAAAAATCCAAAAAACGAATACCCCAGTTACATGGTGTTTATTTTGGAAATAGAGCCATTTGTGTAATACTCTATAAAACACCCTGCAGATTGAATAAGGTTTGTTTTTGATAAAATCCAAAAAGAGCCACCAAAAGGCAATAAATTGCTCTATAGATTCTCTAAATTTTATCTATATACAACGTGTCCTCAATATGCTAGAAGCCTCTGAACTTTAATGCATTAGGATTTAACAATTTTTTGAAGTTTTCAACATTTTTTATACACCCTGTATAAAGTTGAAATTGAGAACATTTTATAGAGGTTTTAATAGGCTTTTAGAGGCTCTATTAACATTTTTTTCCAAAAAACGAATACCCCAGTTACATGGTGTTTATTTTGGAAATAGAGCCATTTGTGTATTACTCTATAAAACACCCTGCAGATTGAATTCAGAATTTTTTTTTGATAAATTTCAAAAAGAGCCTCTAAAAGGCAATAAATTGCTCTATAGATTCTCTAAATTTTATCTATATACAACGTGTCCTCGATATGCTAGAAGTCTCTGAACTTTAATGCATTAGGATTTAACAATTTTTTAAAGTTTTCAACATTTTTTATACACCCTGTATAAAGTTGAAATTGAGAACATTTTATAGAGGATTTAATAGGCTATTTACATATTTTCCAAAAACCGAATACCGCAGTTACAAGGTGTTTATTTGGAAATAGAGTCCTTTGTGTATTACTCTATAAAACACCCTGCAGATTGAATTGAAGGATTTTTTTTTGATAAATTCCAAAAAGAGCCTCCAAAAGGCAATAAATTGCTGTATAAATTCTCAAATTTCGTTTACATACAGCGTGTCTTCAATATGCTAGAAGCCTCTGAACTTTAATGCATTAAGATTTAATTTTTTTTTTTAAGTTTTCAACATTTTTTATACACCCTGTATAAAGTTGAAATTAAGAACATTTTATACAGGATTTAATAGGCATGTAGAGGCTCTATTTACATTTTTTTTTTAACAATTCTTCAGTTACATGGTGTTTATTCGGAAATAGAGCCATTTGTGTATTACCTGTAGATTGACTTCAGGATTTTTTTTGAAAAATTCCGAGCTCTAAAAGAAAATGAATTGCTTTACAGATTTTCGAAATTTTGCCTGTATACAACATGCCCTCAAAATACTAAAAGCTTCTAAACTTTAATGCATCAAAATTCAATAATTCTTTAAAGTTCTCAACATTTTTTAAACATCCTGTATAAAGTTGAAATTGGGAAGATTTTATAAATGATTGCTTGTAGAGGCTCTATTTGATTTTTTTTTTCCAAAAATCGAATACCCTAGTTACAGAATGTTTATATGGAAATAGAGTCATTTGTGTAATACTCTATAAAACACTCTGTAGATTGAGTGCAAGATTTTTTTTCTGAGAAATACCAAAAACGGCCTCTAAAAGGCAATGAATTGCTCTATTGGAGTGGGACAGAAAAATGAAAGAAAAAAATTTAATGAAAATTGATAAATGGAAAGAGAAAATTAAGAAAAAGTTGAGAAGAAAATGGTGGACAAGTAGGAATCAAAATATTTTCTCTATTCCAGGCTCTTGAATCCTCTGTTTTTGGAGAAATTCGAAGAAAACAGGAATTCAAGAGTCGAGAATAGGCAAAACTTGAAACGGGAAAAATGAGAGGAAACGTTTAATGAATAATTGGGAAATAGAAGGAGGAAATTGAAGAAAAACTCAAGATTCAGGAATAGAGGAAAATTGAAAAATCAACAGGAAATTTAAGAAAAATTGGTAAAAAGAACCAAATAATTTTTATTTTATTCCAGACTCTTGTTTTTTTTTTTTTTAATTTGGAGAAATTTTTAAGAGAAGAACAATTCAAGAGCCTGGAATACTTAGATAAATATTGAGACAGAAATGGCTTAAGAGAAAAAATCCTAATTTTTCTATTACAGGCTTTTGAATAATTTTGGATTTCTCTCGAGACAGAAATAGCTTTAAAAAAAAATCTAATTTTTCTATTACAGGCTTTTGAATAATCTTTGATTTCTCACACATTCAAGAATCGGGAATAAAGAAATATAAAATTATTGAAAAAATCCTTCCACTTCTATTGAATTCTTAATGACAAAATCAAAGACAGATTTTTCAAAAGCAGCTCAAATCTGATATTTTTTGCTATTTAATTTTAATTCATAATCATCCTTTATATTGAAATAATTTAATAACAATATAACATACGTGTTTGGACTTAAAACAACTCAAATTTTGATGATAATTATTCGACAGGCATTTGTGAACACCTAAGCAAGCTATTGCATATTTAGAAACAGTATTATAATCTCAGATTATTATAATAAACAAAACTCCTTTTCCGACGATTTGATTGAGAAATTCGTGATTAGTTTGCCATAATTATGGGGACAATAACAAAATGTGAGCAGCTTAATATTGATATGCCATATTTAAGATAATCGAAATATTCATTTTTAAGTAAAAAAACCACACACAAACACGAAATGAATATTTCAAATATCGATCGTCTACTATAAGCTTGTTGCTGACCTAAACTCTACACCAGTGAGACAATTATTGCTTACCTTGGGCTGAAGCGGCTTGTTTTTGCAGTAAGAAATCGGCTGGACTTGGCGGCGGCGTTTTGGAGAATTTAGGAGATTTTAGCTCTAAAAACAATAATTGCTTAGACTCAATTATATCAAGACAAAAACCCTTACCTTCGCTTCTGGTTGGTACTTCAAATCTGGAACTCACTTGTTCCATAAATCTTTCATCTTCTATTTTGTGCGTTACTTCGGAAACTTTAGAGATTGATGGTAATGTGGTTTTTATCTCTATCGTTTCCGTTAATGGTTGAATCTAATAATCAATTTAATAATTATTATATTAATTGGCAAGAATTTGATATTACCTCAGCTATTTTATCTTCAACTAAACTTTGTCGTTTGATATCGCAAATTTCCTGTACAATTTCACGTCGTTGTGAAGAAGCAGGAATCGCTCTTTCGGCCGATAAGCGTTTTTCAATTTTCTCCCGCCGCTCTGTAACAGTTTTGTCAAAATTATCCTCTTCCTCGGATTCGGATTTTTCCACTACAACTTTTTCTTCAGCCGAATATTTGTCGTAATGAATTTTTTTGTCCTCCTCTGACCGCTTCAATCTGTAACCAATCTCTTCCTCTTTCATTCTAGTAAATGTAGGCTGTTCCACATTCAGGCACTGCGGTATAATATCCTCTCTACCTATTCTCCTAAGGGCGTTTTCCAAAGTGTTAGTTTGGGCTTTATTGCCAGACTGCGACAGCCACATGCGTAACATCGACTGTGCTTGTTTAGCAATACTTTCCGGATATTCGGACTTTATCACATTGATTTCGGACGTGGTGAGTCCTAGTTGGTGTGCCAATTCGACCCAGTCTTCGCCTAATAAATTGCTCATGTCTGCTAATCTTGGATCGGGTCGGTAGTAGTCTTGGAATTCCGATAGGTACATATGGCGTTTTCCTGATTCCGAGTCGGTTAGGGATATTGTGTCAGTTACTATGTCGTCAGGGAGGACTATGTTTAGGATGCAAATTGGTTGTTGGGGTGGTTCACCTTTGGGGATCTGAAAATTTTAAAAAGAATTTGATAGTTTCACTAATCAAAACTAAGAAAATTCTACCTTAGTCCCTCTCAGACAAACACATTATTTACACTTGCCCTTTATAATACTCAAGTGATACCCTTTTTTTTTTAAATCCAATTAATCAACTTTTGTAGATCTTCCTCGTTGAAAACACAGTCGATTAAAACACTTAAATTTGTTTTGCGCGGAACGTTTTATTAAATTAACATGGATTTGTAATTTTATACAGAGTGATTAAATTTAAAAAAAAAAAAACGTACAATTGTCCTGTAAATAAACATTGTCTTGGAACGATGATGATTCTTCGACGACTGTTTATAGTTAATTCATAAAATCATCTTTCTTGCGGGTAATTTTCGCATCTCATTTCATTTATAGGTGTTTATAATGTTGTCATCTTCCTGTTTATTGTGTATAAACTAAGTAAGATCCTATTAATAAACATTAGCTTTGTAATATTTACAAGGTATTTCGCGTTTCGTCATTGTTATTACATTTGGAAAACTGGTTATTCGTTATTAATTTCAATGTTTTGAGATTTTACATAGCATAATTGTTTTAGAGATTTGGATAGTTTTTCTGAGGGCCACTCAAAATTTCCGATTCAAGGTTTTAAAATTGCCGGTTCTTGATTTTTTTTTTCTCAAAAACTCTCCTTTTTATGAGGTTTTTTCTCAAAAACTGTTTCTTTTATGTAACTTTTTCAAGTCCGAATTTGCCTGAAGGATTGTCTTTAGAAGAATTGCGAAGAAATTGGATGAAATAGGAATATTTTCTTTAGGCTCTTGAATTCTCTATTTATAGAGAATTTTGAAGAAAACATAAATTCAAGAGTCGGATTAAACAAAAATTTAGACGGAAAAAATGAGAGAAAACATTCAATAAAAATAGAGGAATGGAGAAAGGAAATTGAGAGGAAATTTGTTGACCACTAGGAATTTAAATATTTTCTCTATTCCAGGCTTTTGAGTTCTCTATTTTTAGAGAAATTTGAAGAAAAATAGAAATTCAAGAGCCGACATCAAACCCAAATTTGGACAGAAAAAATGAGAGAAAACGTTCAATAGAAATTGAGAAATGGAAATTAAGAAAAAATAGGTTGACAACTAATTTAAAAATTTTCCCTATTCCAGGCTCTTGACTTCTCTATCTTCAAAAGAATTTGATGGCTGGGATGGCTCGAAGTATTTTTCAGGAATCTTCAAAGACGATTTTACAGGAATTTTATAATTTTTTCAGGTTTTAATGAATAAAAAAATTCGCAACTTTAGTTGTGAGTTTCATATCAACTTTCAATTTGTTTTGTATCATGAGAAAACTCTAATTAATAACTCCTGGAAGTTTCAAGTTGCTGGGATGGCTCAAAGTATTTTTCAGGAACCTTCAAACACGACTTTATAGGACTTTTATGATTTTCCTGGTTTTAATGAATAAAAAAATTGGCAACTTTGGTTGTGAGTTTTATATCAAGTTCCAATTTGTTTTGTATCATGAGAAAGTTCTAATTAATAAATTCTGAAAGTTTTAAGCTGCTGAGATGGCTCAAAGTATTTTTCAGGAAGCTTCAAAGACGATTTTACAGGAATTTTACGATCTTCTCAGGTATTATAATGAGTAAGAAAATTCGTAACTTTAGTTGTGAGTTTCATATCAACTTCCAATTTGTTTTGTATCATGAGAAAACTCTAAAAAATAAATCCTGAAAGTTTCTAATTGCGGAGATGGCTCAAAGTATTTTTCAGGAATCTTCAATGACAATTTTACCGGTATTTTATGATTTTCTCAGCTCAATGAGTAAAAAAAAATTGCAATTTTAGTTATGAGTTTCATATTAATCTCCAATTTATTTTGTATCATAAGAAAACTCTAATTAATAAATCCTGAAAGTTTCAAATTGCTGGGATGGTTCAAAGTATTTTTCAGAAACCTTCGAAGACGATTTTACAGGAATTTTATGATTTTCTCGGGTATTTATGAGTAAAAAAATACGTTACTCCAGTTGTCAGTTTCATATCAACTTTCAATTTGTTTTTTATCATGAGAAAACTCTAATTATTAAATCCTGAAAGTTTCAAATTGCTGGTATGGTTCAAAGTATTTTTCAGGAACCTGCAAAGACGATTTTACAGGAATTCTATGATTCTCTCAGGTTTTAATGAATAAAAAAAATTGCAATTTTAGTTGTGAGTTTCATATCAACTTCCAATTTGTTTTGCATCATGACAAAACTCTACTTAATAAACCCTGAAAGTTTCATATTGCTGGGATATCTCAAAAGTATTTTTCAGGAAACTTCAAAGACGATTTTACAGGATTTTTATGATTTTCTCAAGTATTGATGAATAAAAAAATTCGTTACTCTAGTTGTGAGTTTCATATCAACTTCCAATTTGTTTTGTATCATGAGAAAACTCTAATTAATAATTCCTTGAAGTTTCAAGTTGCTGGGATGACTCAACTCAAAGTACTTCCCAGGAACCTTCAAAGACGATTTTAAAGGAATTTTACGATTTTCTCAAATATTAATGAGTAAGAAAATCCGTAACTTTAGTTGTAAGTTTCATATCAACTTCCAATTTGTTTTGTATCATGAGAAAGTTCTAATAATTAAATTCTGAAAGTTTCAAGTTGTTGAGTTGGCTCAAAGTATTTTTCACAAACCTTCAGCAACTTTATGATTTTCTCAGGTAGGTATTAATAAATAAAAAAATTCGCAACTTTAGTTGTGAGTTTCATATCAACTTTTAATTTCTTTTGTATCACAAGAAAACTCTTATTAATAATTCCTGAAAGTTTCAAGTTGCTGGGATGGCTCAAAGTATTTTTCAGGAACCTTCAAAGACGACTTTACAGGACTTTCATGATTTTATCTGATTTTAATGAATAAAAAAATTGGCAACTTTGGTTGTGAGTTTCATATCAAATTCCAATTTGTTTTGTATCATGAGAAAGTTCTAATTAATAAATTCTGAAAGTTTTAAGTTGCTGAGATGGCTCAAAGTATTTTTCAGGAAGCTTCAAAGACGATTTTACAGGAATTTTACGATCTTCTCAGGTATTTTAATGAGTAAGAAAATTCATAACTTGAGTTCTGAGTTTCATATAAGCTTCAAATTTGTTTTGTATCATGAGAAAACTCTAATTAATAAATCCTAAAAGTTTCAAATTGCTGGAACGGCTGAAAGTATTTTTCAGGAACCTTCGAAGACGATTTTCCAGGAATTTTATGATTTTCTCAGGTAGGCATTAATGAGTAAAAAAATTCGCAACTTGAGTTCTGAGTTTTATATAAACTTCAAATTTGTTTTATATAATGAGAAAACTCTAATTAATAAATCCTGAAAGTTTCAAATTGCTGGTATGGCTGAAAGTATTTTTCAGGAACCTTCAAAGACGATTTTCCAGGAATTTTATGATTTTCTCAGGTATTAATGAGTAAAAAATTCGCAACTTGAGTTCTAAGTTTCATATAAACTTCAAATTTGTTTTGTATCATGAGAAAACTCTAATTAATAAATCCTAAAAGTTTCAAATTGCAGGGATTGCTCAAGTATTTTTCAGGAACCTTCAAAGACGATTTTACAGGAATTTTATGATTTTCTCGGGTATTTATGAGTAAAAAAATTCGTTACTTCAGTTTTGAGTTTTATATCAACTTTCAATTTGTTTTGTATCATGAGAAAACTCTAATTATTAAATCCTGAAAGTTTCAAATTGCTGGAATGACTGAAAGTATTTTCCAGGAACCTTCAAAGACGATTTTCCAGGAATTTTATGATTTTCTCAGGTAGGCATTAATGAGTAAAAAAATTCGCAACTTGAGTTCTGAGTTTCATATAAACTTCAAATTTGTTTTGTATAATGAGAAAACTCTAATTAATAAATCCTAAAAGTTTCAAATTGCTGGAATGGCTGAAAGTATTTTTCAAGAACCTTCGAAGACGATTTTCCAGGAATTTTATGATTTTCTCAGATATTATGAGTAGAAAAATTCGCAACTTGAGTTCTGAGTTTCATAAAAACTTCAAATTTGTCTCGTATAATGAGAAAACTCTAATTAATAAATCCTGAAAGTTTCAAATTGCTGGGATGGCTTAAAGTATTTTTCAGGAATTTTCTATGACAATTTTACCGGAATTTTATGATTTTCTTAGGTATTAATGAATAAAAAAATTCGCAACTCTAGTTGTGAGTTTCATATAAATTCCCAATTTGTTTTGTACCATGACAAAACTCTAATTAATTAATCCTGAAAGTTTCATATTGCTGGGATATCTCAAAAGTATTTTTCAGGAAGCTTCAAAGACGATTTTACAGGATTTTTATGATTTTCTCAAGTATTGATGAGTAAAAAAATTCGTAGGTTTAGTTGTGAGTTTCATATCAACTTCCAATTTGTTTTGTATCATGAGAAAACTCTAATTATTAATTCTTTACAGTTTGAAGTTGCTGGGATGACTGAACTCAAAGTACTTTTCAGGAACCTTCAAAGACGATTTTACAGGAATTTTACGATTTTCTCAGGTATTAATGAGTAAGAAAATTCGTAACTTTAGTTATAAGTTTCATATCAACTTCCAATTTGTTTCGTATCATGAGAAAACTCTAATTAATAAATCCTGAAAGTTTCAAGTTGTTGAGTTTGCTCAGAGTATTTTTCACAAAACTTTATGATTTTCTCAGCTATTAATGAATAAAAAAATTCGCAACTTTAGTTGTGAGTTTCATATCAACTTTTAATTTGTTATGTAACATGCGAAAGCTCTAATCAATGAATCCTAAAGGTTTCAAATTGCTGGAATGGCTCAAAGTATTTTTCAGGAACCTTCAAAGACGATTTTACAGGAATTTTATGATTTTCTTAGGTATAAATGAGTAAAAAAAATCGCAACTTTAGTTGTGACTTTCCTATCAACTTCCAATTTGCTTTGTATCATGAAAAAATGTTACTTAAAGAGCCGGGAATAAACATGAATTAAGACGGAAAAAATGAAAGAAAACGTTTGATAGAAATTGAGAAAGAGGAAATTGGGAAGCATCAATTGGTTGACAATTATTAGGAATTTGAATATTTTCTCTATTCCAGGCTCTTGAATTCTCTATATTTAGAGAAATTTGAAAAAAATAGAAATTGAAGAGTCGGGAATAAACACGACGTGAGACAGAGAACGTTTGAGAGAAATTGAGAAATGGAAAGAGAAAATTAAGGAAAAATTGAGAAGTAGAAATTTAAATATTTTCTCTTTTCAGGATTCTGAGTTGTTTGAGGGGGAATTTCACTGAAGATATTTGTTGTATGTGGCCAGGGATAACCGGGGATAATTTGGAATTATGCGGATAACCCGGGATAATTGAGGATAACTGAGGAAACCCGGAGATAATTAGGGACTAACCAAAGGATAAACGGGGATAACCAAATAATTATCAAGGGATAAGTGGAAAAATGCAAACATAATTAACTTGGAAGATTATTAGACAAATATATTACTAATAAAAAAGGACCATAATTCAGCAGATAATTAAGCGATAATCGGGGATAATTAGGGATAACCAAGGAAAACCGGAAATAGCAGCGGATACTCGAAAAATAATTAGGGATAACCGGAGATGATTAGGGATAACCAGAGATGAACTTGAAGTAGGAAGGAAGTTTAATGTATACAATTTTGCAATCGAAACCCCCCTCCGAATTATCCTTATGTAGAGCAATACAGGGTGTTCCACTAAGGTCGGCAAGGTATATACGATATTATGGAAACCATAGACTTTAAAGATTCATTAATTTTTGTGCCAGTTTGGTTATTAGGCTTTTTTTCGAATCTTCACTAATGAGGGTGGGGAAAGAAGGTAATTTTTTTTGTCAGTTGGTGTATCTTCCATAGGTACCCTCTTATCCAAACTCATCAAATTTGGACTCAAAAAAGAATTTTATTGTTAAAGATCCAATTTTTTCTAATTTTCTTGAAAAATCCAAATGGCATGATATTATTTTTTGATTGCTGTGCTTAAAGAGCAAAAAAATATCTACATTTTAGCGCAAACCGCAATTCAATATCTGCATTCGTTTTCAAGTTATGCAAATAATTGGTTTCCATAATATCGTACCTCGTCGACCTTAATAGGACACCCTGTATAAAGAAAATAGGAATTCAAGAGCCGAGAATAGACAAAAATTGAAACGAGAAAAATGATTTTAGAACCACATTTCTGAAAACTTTCCTTTAAATCTAAGAAGAAATATGAATATCTTTGATCTAAGTTGCCCCCGCTGTAGAATTCAAAAATTGTAATAACTCCGCACGCTTTCTAGAATTTCAAAATGAAGACTTCAAAAGATTCTGTTAATATAAAATTCTGGAAGATTTTGAAACTTCTCAAGGTTTTTGGAATGACTATCTATAAAGATTCAATAAAATGCTGAAAAACCCGAAGAATTGAAAACATCTTTATTTGAATTGTCAGCTCACTTTTAAACTGACAAAATTTCCCTTGCAATGATGTATTGTGAGCCCATTTAGTGCTACGTCATACGCACCAGTGGCGTATCAAATAAAGAGTTACTTTTGAAAAATACACTGTTTGCTATTTATTCTCAGTTTTTTTGATCTAAGCATAATTTTTCTAGAAGAAATATATTTTTCCTTGAAACGACCATTGAAAGGTAGTCTACTTACGAATCTATAAGAAGTTTATCGCAATCACTTCATCAAAAAAAAATTAGAAGTTTTACTACTTCCTAAGTTGTATTCATATAAAGTTTTCCCTGTTTATGCGAGACAGGTCAATTGCCTAATGTGTCATATTTTTCCATGTTGTTTAATTGAAGATGGAAAAATGTGTTTTGTGTAAACTGCCACTAATAAGTGAGTAAGTAAATGGATGAAAACATTACTGACTGCTAGTGAAAAGCGTTGACGTTACGTGAAATTCTTAAAAACGTGAAATCAAAAATAAAAAGTATTACAACCGGAAAACAATCATACAAGTATCTACTATTTTGATAAAAGAAAAAATTATGTCTGAAGCTGTCGCCAGAACTGAACAGTGGGGTGAAAATTAAACACCAATATTTTTGGTTCTAGGAGGTCGTTCTATATATGAATAGATTTGCAATTTTATCACCTAAAAAAAATTGGTAAGGATATTTTTCGCCAAGCTTATAGTTTTCAATTATTCTCGGGGCAAACTTTCTTTTGATACCCTACTGGTGCGTACCATGTGGGGAATTTTGTCAGCTTCAAAAATGCTCTCTTGAGATTTTTCCTTAAAGTGGATAGTTTTCGAGAAAATTATCAAAATATGGGGGGCGAAAAAAGAGGGTTGCGGAAGGAGGATTCTCCATTTCTTCAGGACTTTTAGTATATCAATATTTAGCCCTAAATTATGATACATACCAAAAATGAGCTTTACATGTTTTATTTTTGTCTAGCTTCACCCAAAATTGGAACTATCTTGACTGGGGTTTAAGTGATGCCACTAAAAACTACATCTTACCTTCGATTCCTTCATAAACAAACACCTCCCAACAGCTTCGGCGTGTTGATCTTTAACCCTCACCGAAAAGGGCAATCGGTTCTCCCTGAAAGCCCTAAACGAAAACTCCAACTGATCGCCACTTTTCGTCACCGGCACCAAATTACCAGCGAATTCAATAAACTGAGCTTTGCCTTCTAAAACTTCCACGTCTCGACTTTTCGCCACTTCGGTAAAGTGCTCTTGGTGCTCTAGCGTTTTGTCTTCCTTGTCGTCCGTCATACAGAACACTCTCAGTCTCGCTTCGAGCGGATCCACTCGTTTGGCGAACACCACGAATTTCGCCATAAATGGTACATGAATGGCCTCCCTATGTTGGAATGTTTTTAGATTTTTAGAAGCTTGAAATAAATTGACTCACTTGTATAGTTCGGTAGCCATTTTGGTGGCGTCGCCGATGTTTCTGCAATCCATCAACCAAAATCTTGCGGAAACTGTTGTGGTGAAACTTACGACGTCGTTGACGAATGTCAACGGGGTGGATCCGGTCACGTCTTCCCACTGCGCCCTTGTGGTTCCACCTTATTTTGAAATGTCCAGTTTGTAATTATTTACATTTTATTGTTGGTATTTACAATTTTTTTTTTATTTCGGTACATGCTCTGGTTTTAGTTGGCGGTCTTATTTTTAAAGCATGCTGAGCTTTAGTCTGCTAGTACTTGGATATGATTTAGCTTAAGATGTTCGTTGGAAAATTTATTAGTGGTTTATAAGCGTTTATTGTGTTTGTTACTGTTTGTTGTTGTTACAAAAATTCTTGAGCTAAATCAAAATACAAAATATTGTGAAGCAAAATGCAATAATAAGGTGCCAAGCATACAAAAAGCCAAGCAGTCTTTTGAACGGTTTCAGAAAAGACCAGTCGCGTGGCAACTAACTTCCGATTTGTTGTTGTTTTTTTTAGAAGATTTAGTAATTGGAAATAATTTAAAACAAAAACGACTGATCTGACGACATAAAGAGATTAAAAAACATAAAAACAAATAAATAAAATGAATAAACGGTTATGCAGCAAATCTATGAATATAGGGTGAATAAAATTGCATTAATTTTTTTGAGGTGATTTTTCCTTTGATAGAAAACACGTACGACTAAAATAAAAAAGAGGCAAAATTAAACTTTAAAAAAATATACACAGCTAATTATTGCTTTCATACACTATTATTTAAAAGTTTGTTTTGGTTGTATACAAGTCAATATGATTGAAGCTGAGTTGGAAAAGGAAAACTGGAAAAGAAAATATCCCAATAAGTCCAGTCCGAATATGTTATCCTGATTATACCATTAAAGGTCTGGTTTATTCATCTTCTGACAAACTGTCAGGTTGAGAGATAATAGGAATATAGATTGGTTGGATAGTTATCCAGTAGATTTATCCGGAAATAAATAAACCGGGCCTTATTTGTGCTGTTATGAGCCTCATTCTACACAATGATATCGGTTCCGAGTCAAAGGATTTATGAGTCCAAAGCCACCTTAACCGATATGTTAGGTATTTCCAAGATTTTCTCAATCCAGTTACTTTCTGCAAGCTCTGTTAGTCTCTTTGGTAAATTATATACCTCTTAGGCCTGGTTTATTCACCTTCTGATAAACTGTCAATGGTAATGCAATCTATAACCCTATTGGTATACGCCAGTTAATTATCCGCCGACCAATAGGATTATATGTAGATATAGGTTGGCAACTATGAAAAGAGCGTCTCGCTGGTTGCATGCACATTAGGCGAATTTTTCTCATAGACAGTTCTCAGTAGGAAAGTTTTGTTGAAGAATATTTTTCGTCTTTATGGAAGTCTTAAGACCAGTCATTTATTTTTATATTTTTAAGTGTGTTAGATATACAGGGTGACCCGTTTAACTGGTCAAAAATGCTAGGGCATATAGAGGAACCATAGAGAAGTAATTTCAGATAGGACACTGATGGTTGGAAGTGCGTCGTTTCCAAAATACAGGGTGTTGAAATTTAAACAACCCCCTTTCATATCATCTGAAGGCTGTTCAAATTTCCAGAGATTATTGATGTAGGAATGATATTTAAAAATTCGACCCCCATTTTCTACCTGGAATCATCCCAAAAAAAAATAAAAAATAAAGGGTGTGTAGTGTTTGTACTTTAGGGATCTTCACTTATAGGTAAATAAAACACAGATTTAAATAGTATCTCAGAGCTCTGGCTACCGCGCACACATACGCTCGACTGCCACAACCCCAGCCGGGGTAGCGATTGCTCATCATTTATTTATCATAACAATATTACCATATTACATATACATTAACTCATACATTACAGGGTGGTTCCAGGTAGAAAATGGGGTTGCAATACGAATTTTTAAATATCATTCCTACATCAATAATCCCTGAAAATTTGAACAGCGTAGCATTAGCCCTCCAGATGATATGAAAGAGGGTGGTTAAAATTTCAACACCCTGTATTCTGGAAACGACGCACTTCCGACCGTCGATGTCCTATCTCAAATTGGTTCCTTTATATACCCTAACATTTTTGACCAATTGAACGGGGACACCCTGTATTTTGTATTTTCCTCTTAATTTGAATCATAGTTTTTCAAACTTTAACGTGCTAGCAGAGCGTTAAAAGAGGCGAGAAAAATTAAGAATATCAAGGGCTAAATTAGTACAAAAAAGTAGTACTTAATTGAACTTTGAAGGATGGATCCAGGCAAAGTTCATATAGGATAACTGGAAGGTAAAGCTAATTGGAACACATGGAAGTACAAAATGAACATTCTTCCAAGAGGTATTCCAGATGCAGTTGATATTTTAAAAGGAAAGTTGTAGCTCCAAGTTTAAAAAGAAAATGCGTTTGCAGTTGAAATTGCAAGCCTGGTGAATTTCAATACTGCAAATTGTAGTGCACTTCTTGCTCTTACGATAAATATGACACAAGATACCTTACAAAAAGTTATGGGGTTTTCAACAGCAAGAGAAGTGTGGGTTGAATTGAATAGGCTCTTTGATGACAATGTCGAGGACAAAACCTATGATGGTTGCTTAGAATTTTTTAACTACAAGAAGAAAGTTTAAGATGATACGGCAACGTACACGTCTAAGCTCAAGAACTTGTGGAACGAGCTGCAGAAGAGGTTATAAAAAGACAAAATCGTTACAAATAAAACATGTTATTGTGAGTTACCTGGGTTGCTGTTAGTCTGTAAGACTTTAGAAATTCTACCGAGGAAATGAAAAAAATATTTTGTACCACAAGTACAGGGTCCTTATTCTTGAAACAGGGGAACAGCGTTCCCAGGAGAACGAGTGTTTTGTTTTCGTTCCTTATATTGTCATTTGCATATCATGGAGAAAGACGGAACACTCGTTCTCTGTTTAAAAATAATTTAATTTTCGATTTTACATATGCACAAGATCTACAGCTTACACAAAGTTTACTTCAAGCATTAAAAAATGCAGTTTTATAGTTGATGGTAAAACCATACTGACAGGTGAAAGAAGTAGCTTTGGAGGACTGTACAAACTAGCATTGCAGATCATAAAGCCAAAGGAAACAGCTCAAAACAACATAGTTCTTACTGCAATACTTTGGTCATCAAAACAAACGAGAAATCAGAGATATTTTGAGTCGTCAGTTTGACCCCAAAGTGACTTTAGACAGCGAAATATGTGAGGGTTGTATTTATGGTGAAATGTTTGGAACGAGAGAAAGAGCAAAGGTACTAGGAGAACTCTTACACACAGATGTTTGTGAGCCTTTTGAAAAATCCAAAAGTGGCTATAGATACTTCGTACTCTTCAAAGATGATTTCAGCCGTTATCGTTATGTTTACTTTCTGAAAAAAAAAAATCTGAAGTTGCGGAAAAAGTGATAATTATGTTAACTGTAAAAACAGTAGGACAAATAGTAAAAAAGCTACTCTCAGATAATGGTGGAGAATTTGACAATGGTCAAGTAAGTAAAATTCTACAAGAAAGTGGAATCAAACAGAGACTCGTTATGCCTTATACATTAGAGAAAAACGGTTGTGTAGATCGAGATAATCTTACTATCACTATCGTTAAAACTGCTAGATTCATCATGCATACTAATAAAAGATCTTTCAAAACTTCTTTGGGCTGAAATAATAAATGCATCGGCGCCTATTTTGATAGGATTGGTAATTCTAGTATCGAAGGAAAATCTCCATTTGAACTATGGTATGAGAAAAAGCCCTCTCTAAAACACATGAGAATTATTGGAACATCCTATTATATACCCATGTACCAAAGCACAGAAAATATAGTTCAGTGTGAACTATATTTTTCAGATCGAGAGATGTAATATTCGACGAAAAACTCATGACTTCGACGTTGCCATTGTTAAAAGACCCTGTTGGAACTTCTCAGCAAAACAATTGTAAGATTGTCAGAAGTAAAACAAGAAACTAAAGAAAACAATGGACAAGACGGTGAAGCATGGGCGCCCGGAGGGGGGGGCTTTCAATATAAATACTTAAAGGAAAAGTAATTTGTGCACCGATCAAAAGCTACAGAGAATTGACTTTTTTTCCCGTCCGAAATAAAAGTATTTCCAAATTGTTTTATTTTTTAACTAGCGGACCCGGCGAACTTCGTAACGCCTCAGAATCAATAAATGCTAATGCGTTAATTAGCTTAATCAAATTCAGTTTTTTAATAAGATAAAATGATTACTAACAATAAATTATGTGGTTCAATAAATGTTCAAAAATCAAAATGGAACAAACCGCGCAATCTGACGCGGCAAACTTGGTATCGGTTATAAGACATGGCGCCGTATGCATATTTAGTGAATTTTCTTCATAAATATGTTTTTCTTTTTCTTTTTTTTTTAAATATGTTCCAATGTTCCAATAGTTGTTATGTAATTCGGGCCAGACAAATCCAATATAACAAAAATCATAAAAATCGGCCTAGCAGTTCTCGAGTTATAGGTTCTGCAACCAACCCGACAGATAGATAGATAATACAGTTACGTCAGTTGAATACGAAAATTTGAATTTTTAAATTTTTTAAAAAAATAATTTAGTTACGTCGGTTGAATGCGCAAACTTAAATAAATGTGGCAACGTTGTTTCATATTGTCAAAAAAAGTTGGGTCATGTATGTGAATAAGTTTGTTTATAATTAATTAAAAATTAATTTTGTTTTCCGAGAAAAAATGTAGCCTATACTTACTCCCTTTATATAGTGACGTGGTATAAATTCCAAGGAGATCGGTCCAGTCGTTCTTGTGTTCTAAAAAATAATACAGTTACGTCGCGTCGGTTGAATGCACAAGCTCAAATAAATGTGGCAACGTTTTTTCATGTTCTCAACAAAAAAAAGTTGGGTCATGTATGTGAATGAGTTTGTTTATAATTATTAATTAATTAAAAATATTTTTTTCCGGGATAAAAAGTAGCCTATGTCACTTCCCTTCAGATAGAGACTACGTGGTTTAAATTTCAAGGAGATCGGTCGAGCCGTTCTCGAGTTATAAGTGCTTCCACAAAACACAACTGTGTTTTATATATATAGATGTTTAT